TTTGCGTTGTTGTGGGTTTAGATATGCAGCTGTGATTCAGGGGGGTGCTCTAGAATTTACCTTTGTCTCTCGTACTTCGAGCTTTCGGTTGGATAGGTTTTATGTTCATAAGTTGGAGAGGGACGGTGTACTCCTTTGATACAGTTCTGGTTGCTTTCTCTGACTACTGTATGGTGGTTGTTGAGGTTGGGGTTCGAAGCTATGAACGGGTTGGGAGGGCTGGTTTTAACTCAATTGCAGTTTACTGCAGTGTTGCAACGTCCGTGAATTGGTTCGGGTTCGGTGTGTTTTGTTCGTTGAAAGGATAAGTAGTTTTCCTTGTATTTTGACTTGGTGGGATTGGTTTAAGGGTGAGGTTTATTTCTATGGCGAAGCGGAAGTCGGTGGAATGGTTTGGCTTGTTGAATGTGTTGCAGGCTAGGTTGTCGTATTTGTATGGGTTGGTAAATAAGGGGTGTGAAAGGTTTGCGGAGATTTTGTTGTATAAAGCCCAGATTCGTGGGTTATGGGAGGAGCTGGCCATGGGGGCGGAGATCCAGGCTATGGTGGAGTAAACGGTAGTTTAGGGAACGTCTTTCACAGTACTTGCTTCGTAAGGAAAAGGAAGATAGTTCATCAGTGTTTTGACTAGTCTCCGTATGCCTGATGGTTCGATTTTGTCGAATACGGATGGTGTACCTTTATATGCTCGGCGGTAGCATAAAATTCTTGATAAGAGGGTGGAGGGGGATTGGGGTATGGAAGATTTTTTTCTTGGGTTTTGTTCTCCTAGGTTGTCGGTGTTGGAGTGTTCGCTTTTGGAGGGTGAGGTTGGTCGTACGGAGGTCTTGGATGTGGTCCAGTCTTTGTGGAAGGACAAGATGCTTGGGCTTGATGGGCTGCCGGCAGAGTTTTATGTGTCCTGATGGGATGTTATTGGGACTGATTTCTTGGAGATGGGCCAGTTTTGTTTTTCGCATATGCGATTGACGGGGGTCCCAATCGGTTGGCATTGTGCGATGCTTTTTTAAGCCTTTCTAAGGATTACAAAATCACATCGAAGTTATTAGCAAATCACTATCAGTTGGGGGTGGCCTCCTTGGTTTCTCGGGAACAGTTTTGTGGGATGCCGGGTAGGTCGTTGGTCACTTGCAAAAACCTGGTCTGGGATATGATTGTCTGTGTGTTGCAGTCAGGAGAGCAGCAGCTTTGTCAATCTAGACTGGTCTAAAGCCTTCGACCGTGAGGCCACTGATTTTTTATTGCGGTTTATGGAGAAGCTTGGCTTTGTCTCCTGGTAAATAGGTTGGGTGCGCATGTTGCATGCGCAGTGATGTAGTCAGGTGTGTGTGACTAGCTTCTTTAGTGCTCTGCTTGCCATTAGGCGCTCGGTTCGGTAAGGTTGCCTCCTGTCGATGCTTTTGTATTTAATATTTCAGGAACTGTTGTTTCGGGCGGTGCGGACCAATGGTTCTATCGTCTCCCCAACGGGTTTGACCTGAGTATGTGTGTGGGTAGGCAGATGATACGACAGTGTTTGTGGCTACTGTGGATTCGGTGGTATATGTACAGGACGTTATGCATCATTTTGAACCGGCCACGGGGGCTATCGTCAATCATCAATTGATGACAGAAATCCTGTATTATGGAGTTGGGGGTTAAGCTGATTGGGGGCAAGTCGGTCTGGCTTTCTCTGACCGCAAACGGCCAGAGTTCCCTCTGACTCTAAAAACTTGGTTTTACATTCTTTACTCCTGTAATATATACTTCCAATGAGTTTAATTTCTTTATCCAAATTGCTACGGCGGCCACCGTTTCATTTTCTGACAGCTGGTCTCATCTACTGTCCGATGACACCCAACAATGTAAACTTTCGGTATATAGTAAACGAATGAGATTTTGGTGCATTCTCCTCGTGCACCCGAACTGGCAGTTTGCCCTCCACCACACAGTTGAAAGCAAGCTGGTGTGCCTCCTCTTCACAGTTAAATTAATAACATATGAAACAATCACAACTATCCTTGGCTGTTGTAGAGAACGGGTGCCCGAGTTAACTTTCTTCTAGTCAACTCAATCCTCCATCTGCAGAGCTGAGCACAATACCACTATCTTATTTCTTGAAGCTGTGAACATGTGGCTTCCTGTCTCGAGGCCAGTTGCTCCTTGTTATACTTGATTATATTTATATTAATGTTGATTCTGGCTCTTCAATACTTCAGAACTTCCTATGTAGAGTTAAATGTCCTTGTACAATATTTATCAGTTGTATGATCAAGAGCAAAGTTTATAGTTCATAATTCTGAGGTAAACATTGAAGTACTCCGACGTGGCGAGAGCAGCAACAACAGGAAGCGAGGTTAATGGTGTTTCTCCTTCCTAACTCAACCGAGAGTTTAAAGGAACGCTAGTTTATTTAATTAAATTTTTTGATCAATAATATACTTATTAATTCTAGTTAATACCTTAGCACTAAGTTAAGCCATAATTTATAAGCAATTAGTGAAAGTCATTGCTAATCAAATGAAAGCCATTGCTAGTGGCGACGCAGGTTGGTGACGTTAGCTCGTCTTTATGGCGCCTGGGAGGCATTTAAGGGATGGGAGACTAATTACTCATGTAAACTCCATAGAAAATACTCATAACACTATTTTGAGAATATTTTCCTCAATGTTTGTTGTCCTTTGGGAGCGTCTGAAAAATATAACTCTATTTCAATCCAGTATTACCACAGCCTAGTAGTAGGACTGCTTTGTTCAAGTCATTCAGTTGATGAGGTTCTGGTTATTTTTTGTGTGATATTTATTTCATTAAATGTGTTTTACGAAACAATTTCTGTTCTCTCTACTTATATGATTCCTTGACTGATACTGAGCTGAATTTACATTAAACATACGCTGTAGGGACACATTATGGTGATCTGGTATGTTTTCCGAATTCGTTTGAAGCAGACATGAGCCCTTGCGCCGGCAGTGTCTTACCAGACGATTAACCATGTTCCACAGTGTTGTTTAAACCCACAGTGCCATTGCCGATGTAATTCCCATTGCAGAGTCATTAGGGGTACCTATCCTCCCCAGTGTTTCAATGGTTGTTCACTTAAATTCTTGACTGAGAGTAGATGAGTTAAAGTGGTCCCAGGGTGCAGATTGTAATACCCCATTCATTACATGTTAGTGTCCTGCTGCGAGATTCAGCAGTGCTGAGGTCTAGAGGTCCATGAGAGATGAGACAGCTGGCCGGAAGGAGGACGACCTGAGATTACTACTTCATTCCACTCTGCTCGGCAATTTTTGGGTCCCCCATGCTAGTACTGGTGTCCCATTGGCAGCAATTACAAAGGAGGGAAAGTTACTAAGTACTTGGAAAAAGGCAATTTAAAGATTTTTAAATGTGGATAATATGAATGATATCTGGCATGAACAGTTATATTTTGTAAAAATTGGAAATAATTTATCTGAATTACATGAGGGCCACTAACACTAGTGGCCTCAACAAGGACAGAAAGCAGGCGGTTTGCCGAAGATTCCCTCATTTGCCTTAATGATATTTTCCAGTTGGAATGCAAATTTTAACAGAATTTTGGCATTTACGGCTTCGGCGGTTAGGCGGTTACATGGGTTTATAACCCTGTGGGTGAAAAGGCATCTCCTGTTCTCAGTCCTACATTGTAGCTTGTTGAGCTTGAAACCGTTGTTCCTTGTTTGTGTTGTATCTGACCTTTTGAAGAAATTGTCCTGATCAACATCTTTCAAACTGTTCAGTATTTTAAAAATGTCAATGAGATCCGCCCTGTCATGCCTGGTTTGCAGTGTTGTTAGCCCTGAGGCCCTCAACCGTTCCTGATACGTGAATTGACTTAATTCTGGAATGATTTTTTGTTGCCCGGTGTTGCACTTTCTCCAGAGCAGCTATGTCCTTCTGAAGATAAGTTCTCCATGATTGGATACAGAAATCCAGATGGACGCGCACCAGAGATTTATAAAATTGAATCATTACCTTCTTTTCCTTAAAGTCAAAGGTACGCTTGGTTATTCCAAGGGTTTGGTAAGCTTTGTTGACTGCTTCCCCTACCTGCTGTGCAACTTTCATTGAGTGGAGAATTTTGATTCCAAGGTCCTTTTCTTCATCTATCTGCTGTAATGTTATGTTATTACCTTGGTAGTCGTGGCGTGTGTTGTTGTGCCCCACATGAAGGGTCTTGCAGTTGTCAATAATAAAAAGCATTTGCCTGTCTTCTGACCATTTGTGGAGTTCATGTAGAGTTCTTTGTAAGGCTTCAATATCATCATTTCCCACTTTACCATAGATCTTAGTGTCATCTGCAAATATGATGTGGCTTGTAATACTCTCATCTATGTCATTGATGTATGTGCCAAAAAGGGTTTCCCCAAAATGGACCCCTGTGGTACCCCACTTAGCACATTTCCCCAGTCAGATTCATTCCCATTAAACATTACTCTGTTTCCTTTGTGTTAACCATTGTTTTTTCTATTCTAGTATTCTTCAATTTATTCCATATGTATGTTATTTCCTTGCCAGTCTTTCATATGGTACCTTATCCAAGGCTTTAGCAAAATCCATGTATACTACATCAACCGGAAGTCATTTGTCTGAGGAGCTGGTTATGGTTTCTAAAAATGTGAGCAGGTTTGTAAGGCAGGATCTATTTTTTAACAAACCCATGTTATGTCGATTTTACAAGATTCTTCATTGAAAGATGGTGAATGATTCTCTCATTTAGGATTCTCCCTGTGAACTTGCAAATGTGTGATGTCAAGCTGATCGGATTTCATAATACGAAACAACGGCACTTAGTAAGCTGGTTAAACATTTGATATGGTATCCAACAAATGTTATGGCCAGCATTCTTAGGCTCTATCAAATTATTTAGGAAAAACATATTCTTGCCACACATTTCTACTTCATGCCTTTTGTTGTATCCCAAAATAAATATGAGAATCAAATAAAAAGTTTCGCATTATATAATAATTTCCTATGAATAACAAATTGATCTTACACAGGAGACACCGAATCATCTTACTGGCTGGATGGCATGTTTAACAACCACACGAGCCAATTTACGTATTCATCAGGGGAGCTTGTGCCTATGGACACGCCATTCTGGAGTGCAAGATACAATTTTTCTGAACCCAGTGGTGACGGCCTTTGCATTGACCTTTATAACAAGGAACATCACTACCTGAATGACGTCCCTTGCAATGGCATCCACTGTCCATTATGCGAATTTCCTTTTTCATCAGCTAATGAAGGTAGGTGTGATTTCTCAATCAGCTGCCTCAGTAACGCATTACAAATTTTCTTACTTAGTAGTGAAGATTAAACATTATTGCAATTTTAAAATTTTTACAAAATGTTATGATTTTTGGATATAAAATAGAATTTTTTTAATGACAATTACAGTTAAACAATTACTGTTTACAAAAAGAAGCTTTCAAAAATAAAGTTCCTGAAATACATATATATAACTTGTGATGGAAAAAAGAAGTGTAGGTGTTCGGCAGTCCTCTTAACGGCTGGTGTCAATGCCAATCACATTTACAAAAAAAAAAAGTTGACTGCGTGGCTGTTGCCTCCTGTGGTAAAGTAAGGGCAAACACGCAAAACAAATCTTATGAACAATGAAACTTTAATTAACTTTAAAACAAATATGAACAAAGACAATCCCTTGGCTATGTACATTGCAAACAAGATTATAAAGTAAAAAAAAAATAACATAAAATAAAACAGTAGTTACGTTACTCTACAATGAATAAAGACAAAAAATGAATTAACAGATGCTGAGAATATTTGCTGGTTAAACACATCCACTATTACACACAGTGTATATTAGATAGGTGTGTCAGCTTTGAGAGCACAGAATATTCTAAATCCAATGGCTTGTACACGCTCAGTCATCGGCTATGTAGATGGCGCTGAAGTGGAGTGCAGACGATGATCCACCAATGGGACGCGTGCTGGCTGGAAGTGGTGGTTTGGTGATCGACGAAGGTGGAGGGGGAGGTGGAGAGCGAGTGTCGGATATGTATGCGCCTGGCAGAAACGTATTTTACTCAATATGTACTACACTTGCTTGTAGTATCTAGATGTTGTAGATGTACTGAAGTAACATGGTGATAGGAAAGAGTAGGCCAAATCTCTCTTGAAGGAGATTATCGTAACAAACTGAAAACAATACATATATATATGTCGTACCTAGTAGCCAGAACGCACTTCTCAGCCTACTATGCAAGGCCCGATTTGCCTAATAAGCCAAGTTTTCATGAATTAATTGTTTTTCGACTACCTAACTTAACCTAACCTAACTTTTTCGGCTACCTAACCTAACCTATAAAGATAGGTTAGGTTAGGTTGGGTTGGTTAAGTTCGGTCATATATCTACGTTAATTTTAACTCCAATAAAAAAAAAATGACCTCATACATAATGAAATGGGTAGCTTTATCATTTCATAAGAAAAAAATTAGAGAAAATATATTAATTCAGGAAAACTTGGCTTATTAGGCAAATCGGGCCTTACATAGTAGGCTGAGAAGTGCGTTCTGGCTACTAGGTACGACATATATATATATATATATATATATATATATATATATATATATATATATATATATATATATATATATATATATATATATATGTGTGTATATCACGAAAATAAAGACGTGATTTAGAATGTGACAATGTCAGACCACGGAGGAAAAATGAAACAGGAATTTCCTTAAGTACTTTAGTATATTAAATACATCTTCAGAAGGTCATTTTACAGATCGAGTGATGGGTATAAATAGGCAGGAGAGAGTGGTGAAGTTAGGTGAGGTACAATACTTGGACAACGCAGACGGCCCATTGGCCACTATATAGACCACTGCTAATATTCAAATTACTTTCTTTGGTGATCTGTATCAAAGCAGATTCAATTATGTTTCTGTTATAGGTACTTTTACAATTTGTTATAGAAGAAGCACTCTCCCAATCAATTTGGTGAGCTTTTTCTGAGAAATGCACAAACAAAGCATTAGACAATTGGCCATGTCTTACAGAGTATTTATGTTGCGATATTCTACATTTTAAATCTTTAGATGTTTGCCCGACATAGGACTTATTACATTCCTTACAAGGTATTTTATAAATGACGCAATTATCACTACGAGGGCTGTTCCTAACTAATAGCTTACCAACAGTGTTTTCGTAGCTAAACAATATCTAATATATCTTTTTAATATAGATATATTAATATATAATTAATATATCTTTTTAATATAGATACATTGTTTAGCTACGAAAACACTGTTGGTAAGCTATTAGTTAGGAACAGCCCTCGTAGTGATAATTGCGTCATTTATAAAATACCTTGTAAGGAATGTAATAAGTCCTATGTCGGGCAAACATCTAAAGATTTAAAATGTAGAATATCGCAACATAAATACTCTGTAAGACATGGCCAATTGTCTAATGCTTTGTTTGTGCATTTCTCAGAAAAAGCTCACCAAATTGATTGGGAGAGTGCTTCTTCTATAACAAATTGTAAAAGTACCTATAACAGAAACATAATTGAATCTGCTTTGATACAGATCACCAAAGAAAGTAATTTGAATATTAGCAGTGGTCTATATAACTTAGATCCATTTCTAATAGATCAGCTAAAGGGCGATTTAAGTAGGATCATTGAAAAACATTTGTCTCACTAATTTATTGTATATATTTACCTCTTTATGTTATAATTACCTATGTATTATGCTTGAATGTCTGCTGTATCAGATGGGCCATTGGGCTACATCGGATGGGCCAATTGGGTGCATCTGATGGGCCAATGGGCCTTCTGCGTTGTCCAAGTATTGTACCTCACCTTACTTCACCACTCTCTCCCCCCTCCCCGCTCAGCTCGTTGTCGCCGTGTGGGGGCTTCGTGGGCGGCTGCTGGAGTGTGATGCTCCTTAGGACAGTCCTCTGTCCTTTTCTAGCCTTGTGCTCCTGCTGCCGTCCTCTCCAATTCTGCTGGGCACCTTTTCCTTTTCCTTCTGTTTCGTTTTTCTCCCCCCTTTTCTCCTATCTGCTTGCCGTTTCCTGCCGACCTTTTGCTCGTTCTGGTTCTTCCATGGACTTCTTCTATTTTGACGCCCGGGTGCTTGAGGAGGCATACTCATGCACCCGTAGAACTGCAGTACCCGACGTCGAGAGCGAGGGGAACCTTTTATTGTCAATCCCCACTTCGTCACTGAACCCGATCTCGACGGACTGTCGGTTTCTTAAGGTGGCGTTTGTGGGGCGTATACTCACGACGCACTCCTAGGGGGCCCCGGCAAGATCGGCGATAGCTTCTTGTTGGGTGTCCTGCCTCTAATTGTGGCTCCATGGTGGGTGTGGGGGCACATTCGTGAGTGAATTCTTAATTTCGTCAAGATGATAACCCCTGTTTCGGCTGCTTCTGGCTTACCTTTTCAGGCTCGTGGGGTGGGCGACCAAGCCCCCGAGTCGGTCCGTATTGGAAGACCGGGCTCTGTAGCCTCCGCTGCATTGGGCCCCGACCTTGCTCCTCCTTTGGCCTCTCTGACTCCTTCCCCTGGCTCCCCTCCCTCCTCTGTGGTTGGGTCGAGCCCCAAGCCCCCAGTGGTGACTACCTCGTCCCCTGGCGCGGCTCCTTCTCTAGTTGTAACTACTGCGCCTTTTAACCCCTCTCTCTCTGGGGGTTCTCACCGCCGTCCTCGTCACGGCCGCCCTCGCTCGATTCCTTCCAGTTCTGCTACCTATCAAGCCTTGTTTGGTCCCGCTTCGTGGGCCAAATATTTTGATCTCCTCCCTCTTGATTCTGCGCCTCCTGACGATTTCTCCCTTCATCGACATCTCATTGATTCCGTGGATGCCTCCATTACTTTCAACCCCACTCGTCTCGGTACACGTGTCGTTGCTGCTCCTTCTCAGGATGCTGCTTCCCGCTTGGCTGCCTTATCCTGCCTTGGCGAGACCCCCGTTCGGGTCTCGAAGAACGCTCAATTGAATGCCAGTGTTGGCACTATTTTGCTCCCGCCCCATGTTGCAACCGGTGTTCGGGACCTGCGCGACTGCCACGACGATATTCGCCATATCCTCGCTGCCCAGGGCCATTCTATTCTCCAGGTGGACACGTTTACTCGTCCCCTCGTGGTAGTCGCCGTCAACCCCTCCGGGTTGTGAAGATTACCTTTGATGGTAGGACCCTTCCACCCTCTGTCATTCTTGCTGGTGCCAGGTGCTCTGTCCAGGAGTACATTCCTTCTCCTCGGCTCTGCAACAAGTGCTGGAGGTTTGGGCATGGTGCCCTCCGCTGCTCCGGGACTGTCTCTCTCTGTCCTTTGTGTGGTGGCGAGGGTCACTCTAAGTCGGAGTGCACTTCTCCCCAGGCTCGTTGCCTCAACTGCGGTGAGGCCCATCCTACCTTCTCCCGTGCGTGTGTCCATTACAAGCTTGAGGCAGCCGTCCTCAACCTGAAGCACCGGGAGCGTTTATCTTTTCCTGAGGCGAGGCGCCAGGTTCGCCGGCTCCCGTCTTATGCTAATATCTCTTATGCTCGCGTGTTGCGCTCTTCCTCTCCTCGTCCTTCCCGCCTTCCTCAGACTCACAACCGTTTCCGGGCCTTGGACCCTGATGCGCCCACTGCCCCCTCCTCTGTTCCTTTGGGTTCTCTCCCGAAGGATCCTCCTCCTGGTCCTCTGTCTGGGGTTCCCCTTCCTTCTACCCGGTCTGTCGTGTCTTCTGTGTCTTCTTCCTCGTCCCCCTCCGATCCTCCTTCCCATCCTCTTCCTCCATTTATCGGCTCTCCCCACCGCCTGTCGGTGCGGGCGGATGTCCATCGCTCTCCTAACGGCCGTCGTGTGTGCTCTCGTTCGGCTTCTCCTGTTGAGACACTGGAATCCGTTGCCCGGTACGTAGTTGCTGGGACACCGGTCTCTTTAAGTCAGAAGCGTAAGCCTGGCTCCTCTCCTTCCTCTTCCCCGGCGGGTAAGAAGGCTTCGCATTCTTCCTCAGCTCCTCCTTCTGGCTCTGTTGCTTCTTCCCCTCCCGTTTCAGTGCTTGCGCCCCCTGTTCCTGCTATGGAGGTTTCTTTGGCCCCTACTTCCCTTTCGGTTGCTGCTCTTGCTGGGGTGCGCTCCCCTCTTTCTACTCCCCCTCCTCCTGCTGCTGTCCTTGACGGCTCCTCTCCGTTGTCTCCTCCTCTTCCTCCTCCTCCTCCAGACCCTGCCCGCCCACCTCTGCTCTGTTCTCCCGTTTCCTTCC